GTTATATGCTGTACAAGATGCAGACATTATATCCTATTTACAAACACTATTAGAACAAATCCCTCTATTCATTAAGAGAATGTAACTATGTATCTATCCTAACCATTTTGAATACACAGATACAAAATGGACATTCATCTGTATCCCCATTTTTGTTTAGTTACCAACTTAGTTTAATTGGGACCACTTTCATGTTCTTTATGTTGTGTTGGGACAGAAATAGTGGGGCCTCATATATGCTAGGCAAGTGCTATACCATGGAGTTATGCCTTCAGCCTATAAACCTTACTTTGAGAAACCTTTCTTACCTTGAGAAATCAAGTTTCCTAGAAAGACACTTTCGGAAATATTGCTCTATGAAGATAACATGTTAGCCAACATTCTTCAGGGTGAGAAATTGTTTCATGAGCTACAAACCCATCTTTCTGCTTTATCATCCCTACCTAGACTTCTGTATGTTAAACAAAAGATGAATGAGATACAGTCAAATGAGCAACAGCTCATCAGTTAAGTAACCTAACACAAAGTAGGATCAGTTAAATAATAGGGTTTAATACTAGTATTAGTGAAACCATGAATGGTCAGTTCATTGTGAGAATTATGCTAGTAAGAAGTAATGAGGGTGTGATGAGGGTGAGTCATTTTTAAAAATTTTTCCATCAAAATGGCTATATTCAAAAATTTCTGGTAACTCAAAAAAATAGTATTCATTTACCAGGAATTTTTTTTTTTTTTTTTTTTTTTTTTTTTTTTTTTTTTTTTTTTTGGTATTCTAGAGAAGGTTCTACAGGGTGTTCAAGGTCTCACTACTAGATTAGACTCAGTGATCTGCCTGTTTACAGCCTCCCAAGAGCTGGGATTACAGGCGTGTGCACTACCATACCCAGTCTCAGTGCGCTCTGGGGATTGAACCTCCAGCCCCTGCACCTGCTTGCTGGCACTTTAATCTGCTGAACTATTTATTTGGCTGGCCCTCGGAAAATTCTCCTATAGGGAATGCTTCATTTTCCAGTGATATTTAGTGAAATAGTTCTATTAAGGGACTATTAAAATTATTACTGAAAACTATACATTACATAATCTTAGAACAGTTTAAAACTTTTAAGTTTTCACATATTGTTAAAGAAACTACACATATTCACCAGACATCTACTTCAAAATTATTTTAAAAAGTAGATAAACTTTATATAAAAAAGACCTTTGTAAGTATATCAAAATTCATTTAGTACCTTAATTTTAGAACTAGGCATAGGAAGATAATAGCCTTTATTTACACATATAAAGTTCAAACACCACATTTAAGTTGATTGAGATGACATATTCACAAAATGCAATATTAGTATCTTTAATCCTCTATACTGTCTATTAGGGCAGTAGGCCTTAAGATGTTGTTGAGATAACTGGCTTCCATTAGCAAGTATGTGATTGGCAGGATGATAAAGTCTTTTCACTCACAGGTCAGCTAGTTTTCCTTTTCTTTAGAAGAGGGCAATCCTGATGATCCATCTTTTAGCTACAGTCTCTTACTGAGTCCCAATTCTCTTGCCTTCAGCTTTGATATGGTTCTAACTTTCCTCTCGTATCAGCTCACACTTGTCATCAACTCCTCTATTCAGTACAGCAAATATCAGGAGTTTGACCTCAGGGCAAAGTCCGGGTGGGCAGGAAAAATTTGACCACTAGACCTACTTCCTAATCTTTCATACCCAGCAATTCATGAAGCAGTATCAAATTCAAACTAAAAAACAGAAGCATGACCTCTTATAAGTACTATGAAAAGAGCTCTTTTGCCTTTCTAAGTATGCTTGAAAAGAACTGTCAACTGCCCTATTAAGGCAAAAATGGATCACAGTCTAGAAAAAAAGAAGTGCAGAAACTCAAATGAAATGTAAATAAAGGCATTAGCACCCCCTTTATGTTTGACGATGTATTACTTCATATAAGTGTGAAAATAGTATGCTATAAAAATATATTTATGAAGTCAGAAACATAAAAGCACTAGTACAACTTTTAAGACATTTTCACTTAAATAATCACATGTAAACACCAAAAAGACTTATATCACCTTATATAAGGTTGTTGCTTTCAATATTAGTCTTTTGGCCAGTTTTCATATTTATTATTTCATCATTTAAATGTTTATAAATTTAAAAAAACAAGTGTAATATTAAATTTATTAAGTCTAGGTTACCAAAATTATAAAATTTAAGTTAATTCCATAGTGATCTAGCATAAAGAGGTAAGAATTAGTATATCTTATTATTTTAAAATACAAAAGAAAAGAATATGATTAAACTTTAACATTAATAACCAGGTAATATTATTGTAAGCCCTTTTAAAATTAGAAAAATTGGTATAAGTTAGCTCATTAAAATTTTCTATCTAGCAGTCTTTCACTGCATATTTACTATCATTCTTTAGAATTGTGCTTAATATTTATATAGCTATCATATAAACTATTCCAATAATTCTGTATGTATATCAAAATAGATTTCATAGTTATAGATGTTTCAAAATTTATTTATCTATTTTTCTGTATTTTTAGTGAAGGGTCTACAGGGTGTTCAGGGTCTCACTACTAGATCAGATGCATAGTGATCCGCCTGTTTACAGCCTTCCAAGAGCTGGGATTACATGTGCATGCCATCACACCAGTGTCAATCACTGTCTCAGCACACCCCGGGGGTGGGGCCAACATGGCAGGCCTAGGGATCAAAGCCCTGGCCACTGCATCTGCTTGCAGACACTTTAGTCCTCTGAGCTATTTGGCCAGCCCTTCACAACTCTTTAAATTCACTTAAAAGTTTCTCAAATTACATTATAAAGCAAACTCAATTAGGACATAGGTGTCTTTCAAGCATACATATTTGAAAAATAAATTTAATCAATGGGACTTAAGATTACTAGTATTATAAATATGTCTCAGTATAGCTCCCTATGGAGCTATATGTTGTAAGGAAGTCTTTTGTATTATCAAATGATGACTGTCTGAAAAAGACAGTGACTGGGATCAGAGTTTTAATCTGCACTGATGAGAGAATGAACTGAAGACAGTAATGGCAAACCTATGGCACATTGCAACAGGCTGTTTGCATTACTAAAAGCTCTGAAAGGTTTGCCATCACTGACCTAGAGCCTCACACTTGTGAGGCACAAGGTCTACCACTAACCTATATCCCTGACCTCTTTGAAACAGAATCTTTACAGTTTCATTATCTATGTGGTCCTATTCACAATCCTGTAATGAGATTACAAACTAGTTAATTCTGTTTTTAGTTGTTGCTGCTTTTTCCATTGCTGTGAACAGAACCCAGTACTTCAAGCATTCCAAGAAATACCACTGAACTATCTATTCCCTAGCTCTCAAAATAGTTAATATAAAAAATAGTTATGCCACCTGAATACATATGAAACAAAATATCACATCATTTTCAACTTTCTTGTGAACAGGTTATTTGTACATAATGGGAACTATCATCAAATTTCCTCTTTACATTTTCCTTTGGATTAGAGAACATATTCACATCCTTGCAACAGAGAAACTTTCCCCAGTAAGCAGCTTTAATTTACTTGGGAAATGAATATACAATGGAATGTATTTTTAACTCTCTAAAGGACCCAGTTTCCAGTATTAAATCATCTTGGTCAAGGAAACAGTGCTGCAACAAAGAGAAATCCTTCTAAAGGAAACAGGCCTACTGCCAGTAGAAATGATCTCCTCTGGTAAACAGGAATGAAATCAAAAGTCTATTTTCTTCAATTTCTACTAACTTCCCCAACTAAGTAAAACTAATGTATAGATCTAGGTCACTCATAAGAATGCTCCTTGATTGGTAAAATGCATAAGTAGTATTGCTTACAAGCAAAAAATAAGTATGTTCAGTGATTTATAGACATAATTTGGTGACATAAAGGGCCTTTTAAATTTCCTCTTAAACCAGACTTGAAGATGTAACAGTTAATTTCATGTAATTAGAGGAAAAGAAAGAAAATAAGAGAGCAGGAAAAAGAAAAATTATGGGGAGATGGAAACAAAGAAAATGATAACGGTACAAGGGCCAGCCAGAGAGCTCAGCAGACTAAAGTGCTTGCTTCAGCAGACCACAGTGGCTAGGGTTCAATTCCCAGTGTGCTGTGCCAGTCCCATCCCCGGGGCATGTTGAGATGGCGATTGAGAGTGGGCATGGTGGTGCACACCTGTAATCCCAGTGCTTGGGAGGCTGTAAATAGGAGAATCAGTATGAGTCCAATCTATGTAGTGAGACCCTGGACACCCTGTCCTAAATTCAGAAAAAAAAAAAAAAAGAAAGAAAGAAAGAAAGAAAAAAAAAATGATAACAGTACAAATGTCAAAAGAGTTTAAAATGAATGGGAGAAAAAAAATTCACATTATTTGACCCAGATTATGATAAAAATTAGTGAACATCTAATTGGGCTTTTTTTTTGTCTGCTTCCAGGAATCAAACACAAAACCTCATACTTGCCAGGCAGGTGCCTGAGCTATACCCTGTGGCTCATCTAATTGGTTTTTTGTTTTGTTTTGTTTCATATAATTGGTTTTTAAAACTAGGTTTACACTTCTTTCTGGAGGCACATGTAAAATTTTTAAAAACAGAATTCCTTACCAGCAACAAAATGGCGATTAAATATTAAACAATAGGTTACTTTCTAGGATGTTCATTTAGCTTGGATTGTAACACTATTATTATTATCATTAACTTTCAAATAACCTTAAAATTACTAAGAAGCAATAAACAAGTATTAAGTAGGATGTAGTGATGCACTTTGTAAGTAATAAGTAAATTAAATATTCATGATGAGAATGCTTCATAAAACTGAGATACTGAATGAATGTATGTTTAGAGACATACCAAACACATAAATATTTTTTAGAAAGCATTTTTCTAAAGAGATTGTTTCAAAGCAAACAAGTATTCTTGTAGGCTTAAAAATAAAAGATAAGAGAGGCAGTAAGTGAGAAGTACATTATTATATCTTACTTGTCTAAGGTCAATGAATGCTAGCTGCAGAGTGTCCCCTTGGAATCCTGGCACAGGCTCAGAGTTGGCAAACACTGTTTAAAAAAATGAATTCAGAGAATTAAAACAGTATTTCAAAATATGAGTTTAACTGCTAAATTTCTACTCTTTACGACCATACTATAATATTTACACATAACCATTTCAAATGAAGGCTATTTATAAACTTCAACTACTAAGAATGTTTCCCACACCCATTACCACAAAAATTTTAATAATTTTCAACTTCTAATCTGCAATTTAATCCCTGTAATCTTCAATCACAATAAATTTAGAAGCGTTATCCTAAATGACTTTTATGAGTAGTAATATACTTCCATCAAAGTAAAGTGTTCTAACTCTTTTTAGCCTTAGGTGAAAGATTATAGAAGCATTTTGAAAGTATACTAATTCCATGGCTGTCAACATATTTCAAAACATTTGCTTTGTTTCACAATATGCCCTATAAAAATCTCACTGCTAGCTAATAACAACAAAAGGCAGATACCCAAGTAAGTCAGAAGTTTGCATTCAAATCAATCAGTAAAATCAGGATGATTCAAGAAGTTTCATGTCTTTTAATATATTTTTTTTTCATAAAAGAATTCTGCTTTTTTTAAAAACTAAAGCACAGGGCCAGGGATACAGCTCAGTGGCACAGCACCTGCCAGTCAAATGCAAGGCCCTGAGTTTAATTCCTGTTATCAAGATAAAAAAAACCAAAAACCTAAAAGACTTGAAGACAAGATTTTAAAAATTCAACAGATTTTTTGGTAATTTTTCTGTTTTAAGAACTGTACTACAACCAGGGTGATAGCTCAGTAGAATAAGCTCCTGCCCAGTAAGCACAACTTGAGTTCAATCCCCAGTACCACAAAAAAAGAAAAAAAGGACTGACTAAAATTAAAGTTTATTGAAAGCAAGCATAATCTGCAATTATGTGACCAATCTTGCACACCTGTATCTGTTAATGTGAGCAACAGATTTGATAAAAATAGATAATATAACCATTGCTAATTTTTTATTCATTTTGAAAATGTGTACTATATGTATTGTTGTATATACTATTTGTCTTTGTTTTTACTATTTGTTTTTGCTTTTCTTCCCTCCTTAAAATTAAATTAATCTTTATGTTTCCTAGCTCTTCTCCTTTCCCTCTTAATTAGTCCTTGAGTTCTTGCTTTAATCTTTAAAAAGAACTGTATTAACATGAAATATGATTGGAAAATAAGATGAATGCTTAAATTTTAAAAAATTTATTAGATGAAAGATACACTGTCATCCTTTAAATAATCCCCTTCACTTTGAATACATTTATCCTATCATTCTCATCACTTTCTGAAGTAGTTAAGTTCTCTCGGGTTAGCAAATTGGTCAAGCAATGGCCGTGACTCATCCTCATGTCAGACACTGACAAAAGGATGTACAAAGGGTGGTACAGGGCTACAGGATAAATCCTGAGAGTACTTGGCTGACCTTATCAGATACAAAAGTTACATTTCTTGTTATATAGGTCTTGGTATATCTTGGTCTTAACCATCCAACAGAAAAGTATAAAAATGAGGTATATAAAGTAAATCCATATTAATACGATGAGCTGTAAAAGGCTCAAGTCAGTAACTTCTGAAGATAACCCACTAATATTATAGACTGCTTGACAGTGTTAGATTGTTTAGTTGAATTCAAACACCTATAGTATTTAGATGCCAATAGAATATTCACCTGTGACAGGACAAAAAAAAAAAAAAAGATACAAAGGAAAGATCATTTTGTATTTATATATACAAAATAGGATAAATTTACAGCTACTTTAGCTTAATTCAATGAGAAGAAAGAGGTGTACTGTTTGGACAGAATGTCAGGTCTGCTTCTTGTACTATGGATAACCACTAAGAAGATGTACAGTGTATTGACTATCAAAACTGTCCTGTTAATCAGCTGTGAAACTGTCTCATTCATATTTCTCAATAAAAAAAAAAAGTTCTCTCGGGATTTTAAGCTATCATGGCTGCCTCAATGGCCTAAATCAATTCAAACCTTTCATGGTTATTTTGACTCTGGGAAAGAGACAGAAGTTGTACAGTACCAGATCACTGAATATTTTGAATACACCTTGTACCTTGTTTAGATAAACTTCTGAAGACAATTTCAATAGTATTGGCTATTTTGAAGACAAAACTTTTGGCTTGTAAAAAGACCCCATCATTTTTACATGCAAGCTTCTCTCTGAAGGATGCATGTACCCATTCTCCCTTCCCATTAATATCCTTATTTTCATAATTTTATAGTACTTATTAAAGATGTGTGTGTGTGTGTGTGTGTGTGTGTGTATACATATTAGAGACTGAATGCAGAACCTCCTGCATGACAGACCAGTGCTCCACAAAAAAAACACAGGCACAGAGACAGAGACACAGACTGAGAGAAGTAAGCAGGCAGAAGGAGACAGAGACAGAGACAGAAAAAAAAGGCAAGCGGGCAAAAACAAAACAAAACAAAACAACAAAAAAAAAACCTGTCAATGTTTCCCCTGCTTCCTCAATCTCTATATAAGGTATTACAAACTTCACTGGCTTGGCATAAACCCAAGAATTTAGTGTTCAAATTATTATATACATATTTATATAGCATTTTATAGCTTATAAAACACTTCATATATTTGCTGGCTGTTATCATCACACTAACTTATTTTAGTAAAACAAGACATACAGATCAAGGATTATAAAATCTTCCAAATAAATAATAATTAATTTCTACTTATATTGTCTAATGGCCCCAGGAACTTTTTTTAATTTTAGAGAAGGGTTTACAGGGTGTTGAGGGTCTCACTAGTAGATTAGACTCGCAGTGATCTGCCTGTTTACAGCCTCCCAAGAGCTGGGATTACAGGCGTGCACCACCACACCCAATCTAAATTGCCATCTCAGTGCACCCCGGGGGCAGGGCCGGCACCACAGGTCTGGGAATTAACTCCCAGCCCCTGTGCCTTGGCGCTTTAATCTGCTGAGCTATTTGGTCAGCCTTGGCCCCAGGAATTCTTATGGTAGATTCAAAGTTTTTAAAGAATTGATGACCACTTTTGAAATACCTTGAATAGTTTTTCATATTCTTTCTTGGGTCATCCAGAATATCATTTTGTATATTATGTCATATTTTGGGGTTTCCGTATACTTCTCCCTTGGGCTATCATTTAATTAAAAATAATAATGCCTACTTTCTTATAATCTTTTTTTTTTTTTTTTTTTTGGCAATATAGCCATGCCTGCCTTAAGAGTATTTTTAAAAGAATACAAACTGATCCTGAACATTTTTAAAAATTAATTTTATTGAGAAACAAATAATAATGAGACAGTTTCAAAACCAATTAATAGGACACTTTCAATAATACATTGCATATTATTGTCTTCGTAGTGGTTATTCTTATTCTTTTTTTGGGGGGGGGGCGTGGAACCGGGGATTGAACTCAGGCCCTTGCGCTTGCCAGGGAAGCACTTATTTCACTGAGCCATCTCCCTGGCACCCATAGTTGTTATTCATAGTACAAGATGCAGGCATGATATCCTGTCCAAACACTATTAGTACAAATCTTTCTTCTCACTGAATTAAGAGATAGCTGTATATCTATCCTATTTTGTATATAAAGATACAAAACGGTCCTTCTTTTTTTTTTTTGGTCCTTCATTTGTATCCCCTTTTTTTGTTTAGTTTTGTCAGAGATGGGTACACCATTGCCATTTAAATATTGTAGGTGGATGAATTAAGCAAAACAATCCAATATAGTTCAGTAGTCCTTAATAGTAGAACATTATCTGTAGGACTGGCAATGTCAGTTGTTGACTTGAGCCTTTTATAGCTCAGCATACTAATATGGCTTTACTTTTCATACCTCATTTTTATACCTTTCTGTTGGATGGTTAAGACCAAGATAAAGTAAGACCTATATAACAAGAAATGGAACTTCTGTATCTGACAAGGTCAGTCAAATCCCCTCAGGATTTATCCTGAAACCCTGTACCACAGTTTGTAGATCCTTTATCAGTGTCAGCCATATGGATGAGTCACAGCCATTGCCTGACCAATGTGCTCTCTGTGGAAGCCTGAGAGAATGTTTTCTCTCTATGTGACTCTCTTTAGGCATACTCTGTATCATCGATCACATTCCTCTGTGGCCCCATAATCTCCTTGTTGATCTTGACCTTCTGATAAAATGTTTTAAAAATACTTTCTAGGCTTTAAAAAACTACAAAGACGGCTATTCTAAATCCTTGCTGTTTCCTAAATCTTGCTTTCAATTTGAACATTTCATTTCATTTTATTTTTAATGTATTTAAAATCTATAGGGTCTCACTATATAGATTGGATTCCTAGTGATTCTCCTGTTTTTCAGCTTCCCAAACACTGGGATTACAGGTGCACACTACCATGCCCAGTCTCAGTTGCCATCTCAGCACTCTCCTGGGGCGGGCTGGCAGGGCAGACAGGATCTAACCTCCAACTCCTGCATCTGCCTAAGCAGGTGCTTTAGTCCACTTATCTAGCTGGCCCCTGAACAATTTATTTAAAAAACCAAAATAATTTCAAAAATTCATTTCATTTGATATTCTGAAATAATACAAAACTTCGTAACAGTGATTTCAACTTTTAAAATGCACTTAGAAAAAAATTAGAAAGGGAGATATCTGATCTTATTGGGAATATCTATGATAATAATGAGCATAACTAGTAAAAACACCAGTCCAAATCAATGTAGATAAGATGAAGAACAAAAAGTAATGTATTTTGCATAAGCTAAGAGTACAACAAAAAAGTATTTTCCAAATTGGTAACGTGTGATGGTTTAAGATAACAAAAAAGGACACTACAAGTCTGATCTGCATAGTGAGGCTCCTGTACCACATCTATAGGCAAAATCAGAAACAGTTTCTATAGATAATAATAATACCAACAAAAGTTTTCTGAAGTATGAAAACATTCTTCCTGCCCTCATGATGTACACAAGATGTACTCCGTTTGTTGTGGGATAAGAGAGGAAAAGATTGCTAAGAAATCAGGTTCT